ATGGCTGTCAGTTGCAGCCTATTCAGTCCTCAGAATGTTGGTGATTTGTGTTCTCGCTGTTTTGTTGCTAGCGTCTTAAAAATAGCATATCTCTTCTTTCTCCTGGCTATTCTACCATGAATAAGGGTAACAGTGCAGTCTTGCGAAACATTGGTTGCAATGACAGATTCGATACTCTAAGCTGCCAATTAAAATCACGAGTGACGTGGCTGAGCAAAAGCAACGACAAACAATAAAAAACAAAGAAAACCAAAGCGCACCCTTGAAAACTAATGCACGAGGATCTAGACCTTGTTGCGGACTCGTGCAAGCAATGTTACTAAAAGATGTCAAAAATGACCAGTCACCAGTTATCTCAAATTTTAACACCCGCTACACTGTTCTACACTAAGGGCTGCAGGAAACAGGCGTCAGGGCGGGAGGGTTTGATGACCCGCACCAAGTGTTAGTAGAGAACATTACTTACCACGATGGTCAATCACCACGGGTATTGCCCGGCTATAAGAACATTCCAGGAATAAACATGCTCACCTCCTGGCACCCAAAAGCATACAGTACAGCGAATGGCTACCCGAAACAGAGATGACTACGCCGAAAGGGGTTTGATGACTTGCACCAAGTATCGGCATGCAGATGTATTTGCAAGCGGGTATGGATGTCCATAACAACGAATATGGGGCTTCTTGTAAACGTCCATAAACAAAGGTTAACCCAGAGCCCATCAAGACATTTGGATGTTCAGCCCCGGAAGAAGTGGCTGATGTGTTAAAACCACACAGTCTGAGCAGCTCATTTTATTGAAATAAAACAGGGCGAAGAGCATCATAACACAACATTCATGAGTTTCAACAGGAGGTCATTTTCAGTATTTGACTAGTACGCCGCAGCCTTGTATGCCGGGGAGGGAGAGCTGTAAGCAGACTTGTGAACAGGCTTGTAGGCCGGGGCAGCAGCCTTGTAGGCAGGAGCGGGGTGGTACTCGGGGTACTGGGCCTCTCCCTCGTAGGTGACCTCAGCGTTGTAGCCTCCGTAGTTGTCGGCGACGTACTTGACGTGCTGGACACGGCCGTCGGGCAGAGCCACCGAGTAATATCCCTGGGTGTTGTGGCCATCGCTCTCCTCATTCTTGGCGAAGTTGGTGCCGGTGTAGTGGTCATTGACGGCATAGTCATAAGCGAACGGCTGGGCCACCTCCTTGTACTGGGGCTCCGGGTGGTAAGAGGCCGACTTGTAGGATGGGGCGGGGTGGTAGGGGGCCGGAGCGGTCTTGTAGCCCGGCGTCGCCGGTGCCGGGGCGGCGGCAGCAACAGCCAGCACGGCGGCAATGACGAAACCCTGGAATGCCACAAGGGATGTGCTATTATAGAAACAATAAGCCATACATTCTGGTATCTGTACTATTTTGCGATGCATCTCGTTAGCATGCTTCTAATGCAAGACTGTTTATCAACGCTCCCACAACGATACACTTCTCAGAAAAATCTCTAACATATGACATCTAAGCACACCAGCACTATTCGTGAATGAGATACCTGCATGCTGTGTCTTGGTGGGCGAGTGTGCAGTGGAACTGGTACATGCATCCACAGTGCCTCGGCTTTTATAGATCGGCCGCGGACCGCTGATGGAAGGTCACAAACATTGCCTCACTGATCGTGCGACTCCCGCTACCACCGGCTGGTCTGGCGACATGATAGGTTAGCACGGAACCGCGGCCACTGCCGGATACTCGTACAACTGCTAGAGAGCAATTTAGGCGCCCATTATGTTTCGTGTTCACTTACACATAAAACCAGATGTTAGCATGTCACGAGAAACGTATCGGTAAAGGTCCATATAGATGGTAAACAACGTATTATTTGGAAAAGCGTGGTCGTATCTTTTGATAACTCTAACGTTCTATCTATACGTATTCACAGACAAACACACACACACAAGCACACACACACACACACACACACACACACACACACACACCACACACACACACACACACACACACACACACACACACACACACACACACACACACACACACACACACACACACACGCACGCACGCACGCACGCACGCGCAGACGCACACAAGCACAGGCTTATATATATATATATATATATATATATATATATATATATATATATATATATGGCTTGTGATCTGCCCACCTGCCAACAGCGAGCAATAAAGCGATACAGCAGGCCGGCTTTGACCTGGGTCTGACCGTCAGATCTGACCCTAGATCAGTGAACTTTGTCCATTCCATCGTTGCGTTACCTGAAAAACTATCTCAGAGATGCATGGCTTTCGTCTAACACTTCGCTGTTCCATCAGATTAAACGGTTCCCTTGATATTGTCTTCACTGAATCCATGACCTGACGTTGACCTGCCGTACGTCAGCGACCTCACAAGGTACATTTAAATTTGTGATGCAAAACAACCCACTATTCAGTTTTCTAGAGCTATGAAGATGAAAGCGAGCCGACATGAGCGCGTGTTGACACGTGCTCAAGTTGAGGGGCCAACTTGGCCCCCCGAAAGTTTTTTCAGCATGGTCTCCGAACGGCGCGGCGTAGCCACGCCAAACTTGGATAGCTGTGGCCAGTTGAATAGCGGATCGTTTGACATAAAAATTTAGGTGTACCTTGCCGGGTCACTGACCTATGGCAGGTCAAAGGCGGGCCATGGTTTCGGCGAACGCAATTTCCAGGGAATCGTTCAATCTGATACAACAACGGAGTGTTTGACGAATCATACAACTCTGAGATGCTTTCTTAGGCACCACAAATATTGAATGAGCAAATGGCGTTGACCTAAGGTCAGGTATGAGCTTAAGACCAAGGTCAAAACCAACCTGATTTATTTTTCTAGGACCTGCTATATGGGATAGGTTCTGATGAAATTGAATTCTGATTTCTGTGCTCATTCCGAATTCATTGACAGCAGAAACCGCATTGTACATCCTCCATTGACTTCTTAGGGGTCAAAATAGGTCACTGACCTAAGATGACCCGGGTCGACATTTTGTTTTAGGAGCATACTACCTAGCGTCATCTTAGTCGCTTTTTCAAATGCAAAACTCTGAGCGGTCGTGTGTAGTTTTTGTCACCATGACCTTCAAAAGGTCAGACAAGGACCTGAGACCTTCTGCTTAGAAACAGTTGCTTGGGTCCTGGGGGCGCTTTGGAGATCAACCTGGAACCTAGGAAGCCCAAACTTTGACCTTAGTGAGTTTACATACAGGTCAAGACACCCTGTAAATTTAGTGTCTCTAGTTTTCGTAGTTCCCGAGATCTCGAGGAGGGGGGTCAAATTGACCCCCACCCCCACCCGAGCGAAGGGTATCTAGCCGGCCACCCGGGCGCGTGTTGAGGCTGCCACGTTGCATCAAACTTGTTAAATTATACAAAATCGACTCACTGGTCATATACGTCTACCACTAAGTTTATTCGGCATGAGTACAAAGCACCCCGTTGTTTCTGTCGCCCTTTTGCGAATAAGACTTGGGTATGAGTATTCCCTTTTCGTGCTATCTTCCCCCGACGCACCTAGAGTAAGTTAAGCGAAGATGAAGCGAAAATCTTCGGACGCCTTAACCACGTTTATACGACCATCTTTCCGGTGTAAATATATGTAAACAAAAAAGGGCGCCTGCATTCATTCTTGTTTTGTTCCCATCTTTTGCACTAAAGGCGTTTCCATTAACGCCCTTTAAAAGCGCTTCTAAACCAACTTCCATGGCCCACTGCACAAACTCTAAGAAGTAGGTCATGATATAAGTTGGTGATACCAATTCTCAGGAATAAGGTTTGTGACGTCACATGTTAAAGCATGCCATAGCCTGGACTAATCTAGGAAACGGTCGGAATTTGCTTGCAACTTTTTCGTGACACTGTGCCTATTGCGTTAAAACTTTTTGGTTATCCTTCATTATGCTCTACCTTTGATGAGGAACCAGGCTAACCTACGTGCCAAAAACTTGGACAGCATGGAACGCATGAGCTTGGAGGCTTTGAGGGTTTGGCTCTGGCTTTGAGTTAAAGTTATTGGGTGGAATCCAGATTCGGCGCACGTCATATCGGTATCTTGCGAATTAGCGCCTAGTTGTGTGTGGCAACATAACTCGAAATTTAAGTGACATACGCCGATATGCGTGGCATCGATACGTTTCAGTAAGACACGATTCGTATTTGTAAAAGTGAGCTGATAGCTTAATTAGCTTAAACAACATTTCGAAACAATGAATACGCATGCATGCATCTGCCTGGCCGTCCAGATTCCGTTTCCGCGCGTGCCTTTCTAAGGAGTGACGTTGGGAGGGGGGGGGGGGGGCATTCTAATGGCACAAGCGATCTCAAGCATTCAGGCTCATGCGTCTAAAAATACCTATGCTCACATATTCCGGTTTCTCCTCGGGCTTAACCCACTTCATAATTACTTTCGGATAAAAAAGACTAAAAAGGTATGGAATTGGATGCCATGATGGCCAAGTTTGCTGTCAGCTGGAGATGGAAAGAATGTATACATTACGTCAATAAATGATTCCAAATCGTTGGCATAATCGTCTTGGGTCCAGAGTATGGTCAAAAAGACATCTATACGAGCCTTTGGCATTACAAACTATATATTCTAGACCATTTATCTTCCGAGTCACCTGCAGATACTGAATGGTGTGCCCGTATGCAACCTCATGGGACACATTCCGGTCAACTCCTAAGAGGTGAGCGTATACCGGGAATTCCGTGCGAATTCCTCAGCGCACCCGGTGACACCGTTGGAGGCGTCCTTCACTGGGAACCTGACCGTGACCGGCTATCAGTGGTTAGCGGCCGAGCTATAAAAGCGAGAGCACCAAGGGAGCAGGCACCACTTGCACTGCACACCCGGCCATCAGAACACACCATGCAGGTATGCAATGGAATAATGTCATGGATATGGTGTCCTGTTGGCTACTGGAGGGTTTACTTCGAGCCATGTACACTCTGGGGTTGGCGATGTGGTATGCATTGCCCAGATAGCGAGGTTATAATATATATCGTACAAAACAGCTCTGCTGAATTGGCTGCTTCATCCGTCAAACATCCTCTCACTGCATTGCAGGGCCTCGTCATTGCCACCGTGCTGGCTGTCGCCGCCGCCGCCCCGGCACCGGAGACAACTGGATACCAGCCCGCTCCGGCCCCCCACCACCCGGCACCCTCGTACAAGCCGGCCTCTTACCACTCTGAGGCCCAGTACAAGGAGGCGGCCAAGCCGTTCGCTTATGACTACGCCGTCAACGACCACTACACTGGTACCAACTTCGCCAAGAAGGAGGAGAGCGACGGCCACAACACCCAGGGATATTACTCGGTTGCTCTGCCCGACGGCCGTGTCCAGCACGTGAAGTACGTCGCCGATAACTACGGTGGCTACAACGCTGAGGTCACCTACGAGGGAGAAGCCCAATACCCCGAGTACCATCCCGCTCCTGCCTACAAGGCTGCTGCTCCAGCCTACAAGGCTGCTGCTCCTGCCTACAAGGCTGCCGCTCCGGCCTACAAGGCTGCCGCCCCTGCCTACAGGGCTGCCGCTCCGGCCTACAAGGCTGCCGCTCCTGCCTACAGGGCTGCCGCTCCGGCCTACAATGCTGCCGCTCCGGCCTACAAGGCTGCTGCCCCGGTCTACAAGCCCGTTTACAAGCCTGCTTACAGCTCTCCCACCCCGGCATACAAGGCTGCAGCATACTAGTCAACCACTGAGAATGACTTCCTTTTTAAATACATGAATATTGTGTTGTGATGATTTTCGACCAGCCGTATTTCAATACAAGGAACTGCGATCTGGACTAACAAACTATGAACTATGGACCACGTGGTGTTGACTGAAGCGATCATGCGTTTTCCAGTGGGATAATTTCATTGATGCGACTGTGTTAAGGAATTGGCCTTTGCATGGCATATTGATGCGGTCCCAGTGGGTGTTCTAAGTTGGGATGTGGATGCGTGGGAGAGAGGGACATTTTAGTCAGACCACCGGAAGAGGAACCATGCTAAATATTCAGAAACTTGGAAGAGGGGCTTTGTTCCCCGCTCCTGGTTTCCGGTTACCTGGATCGCTTGGAGCGATGAGTCATCTTTTCATCAGTCATAAAAAACCGTCATGATGGTTACGCTGACAAGCGATTCGTACCCACTCTTAACTTCTTTCTTACCCAAGCAAGCTGTGTTTGATAAAGGTTCTGCCCAAATTCCCTGGAAAACGGGTATCAAGTGCTTGATTTTTTCCATTTTTGCTACCACACAATAGCCTGATTGGAATGAAGAACAATTCGTTTGCTCGTTTCTGTAATAACTCCACGGCCATGCCAGGCAGAAAGGTGTGAGACTGACACAACGTTCCCAGGACTCAGCCTCACCGCAATTGTCTGGGTTGTCCGGGCCGCCACTGCGTACGTCACACACGTCACGGGGACGCACAGCCAATGAGTTCCACAAAAGTCATGGTGCCAGGCCGACCCCAGTTTGAGTTGACAGAAATCGCGTGCGGAAAATACACCGGACTAAAATGGAGTGGAAAACGACTTTTGGAACACGAATCGTCACCAATTAGGCACCAGATCGCGGAAAGAAACCCACACCCGACACGTACCACACGACCAGGCATAGTTGCAACCGAGAGTGATGACGTCACTGGTGGCGCTGGTATGATGTGCAGATGTGTTGAGGAAACGCTGCTGTACGACTCCAGCATCGAGCAGGCCTTCTCAAGGATTACGGTCTCATGGTTTCAAATATACGGAGTAGAGGCGCAAGGTTCTCCAGTATATCAGCCCGCAGCCCAGCCCGCCCGGCCCAGCTAGTGATCCAGCCCAAAAACCCACTATACTACAATGCTCATCCATCTAAATGCATTTCAATATTTGATAGCCATCGATCTGCCATTCAGTCTAATGCAGCTATGCAAAATTTGGCACCCATTTGCCGCGCCGCTCGAATACCATTCTGGAAAACATTTGGGGGTCAAAGTGACTCCGACCCAAGCGCGTGTTGAGCTATTGCACATGCATGCTATCATTTCGGACTTATCTTAGACGTATACATCCACACGCAGTCGGGTGGAGGTCAAGTTGACCCACAACCCGAAGTTTTTTCTGCAGTGGAGAGTAAGCTAGAAAAACCTTATGATGTCATGGATGCCCGGGCCACGCTGACAGTCTCACCTAAAATACTGAGCACATCGTCGCGGGCGTGTAGGTCAGAAACTAGAGTGGATAAGGGGGTAAGGGGGGCCAGGATGCGAGCTGTACCGCATTATCTTCAAGATGGCTTTTTCAGTTCAAAATCGCATACAAACGCGAAGAACTCCCCTTAATCTTTCCTCGTTCTTAAGACATGTCAAGATGTATCATTGAGCTTACTAACCACGGTGCATGAAGGGGGAATGAGAAAAGTGACTGACTACCCAGATATAGTGTATAATTGTCATATAGTGGTGTGCGTATATACCGTATAGTGGTGGTCGACCACGTCAGCTAATGTTGCAAATTTCAGAGAAATTTGAAACGTTGACACTCGACCTCTATGAACATTGACTGCCAACAACGTTCCCAAATGTTGGGGATTGGAATGTCTCTGCGTCAATCTGTTCTGAAAACGATCGTCACTTCAAAACGTATTTCATCCTAACATTATTATCATAATCATGAAATCGCTGTCATCAGCTTTGGGAACGTGAACGTAGTTTGACACAGCTGTGTCACCGGAACGCGCACAATGGAAACGTCATGACCATTTGGGGTAAAACTACCGTGTTTGACCAGTTTATTTTATTTTGATAAAACAGATCAGGTCACAAAAAGTATCCTAACACGGAACTCAACCGCTTAAAATAGTGTTTGTTCTCAGCGTCTGACCAGTTTGCCGCAAGCTTGAATCTCAGAGATGGATAACCTGCAATCAGGCTTGCATTTAGGCTTGTTTACTAGGACGTGGTTATATTTTTGAAAGCAAAATTTTGCTCTAAGTAACAAGAATTGTTATCATATTTAAGATCTGCTTAAAGGTATAGGCACGACGTGGGTCCTATGAACTAAATAATCATAAACCGGTGTTTATCTGATAAAAATAGCTGAAGTCCATTCATGAAGAATGATGTGTGACTTGCTCTGTCTCCCTCCCTTACCGTCAATGGAACAGATGCAGTAACGCGGACACAATCAAATGCAGGAGATAAAAAACTCTCCACGCTCGCCACTTCCTCGCACCACCGTCGGCGTCATGACCCGTTTAAGCATTAATTGCATTGCAATTGTTTGCCGCTTCAAGTTGTCACACACTTCTTCAAACCTGTCGTTAACTCATAGACAATCGGCTCGCTAGTCACATACGTCTGCCACCAAATTTATTCGGTATGGGCACGAAACTGCCCGTTGTTCTTGCCAGCATTTTGCGAATAATACCTGTGTATGATTCTTCACTTTTAGTGTCATTGCACACATAGATCACCGCCTGGACAAGAAAAGTGCATCATTGTATTCGCCACCGAATTCTGCGCTATTGGCTCGCTGGTCATGTGAAAATTCCTCTAACGGGTTGCTCACTATCTGCGCAAATAATTCTGATTTCTGTTCGCTACCTTACCATTATATTCAGACTCCAGCGGCCCAGCGCATTGAAGTCTTGGCACCAGTGACGTCACGATAGTTTTTATGAGCCAATGCAAGGCTGCTGTTTTCGTTCCCCAACCGACCTTGAATAAGCTAGGCGAAGTTGAAGCGGGAATCACTGGGCGGTTTTACCACGCTTATACGACAATCTCTCCGGTGTAAATATATCAAAATGTGCCTACATCCATTCCCACCTCGTTCCAATCTTTTCCAGTAAAGGCGTTTCCATTAATGCCCCTTTAAAGCGCTTCCTAACCACATATCATGGCCTAATTCACGAACTATCAGAAGTAGGCAAATTTTAAGCAAAATGGTTTGTGACGTCACATTTCGAGACATGCCATAGCCTGTACTAATCTAGGAACGGTCGGAATTGCCTTGCAACTTTCTCGTGAAGATAAAACGTTATAAAGCATTTTAGCTATACTTCATTATAATTTGCCCATGATTAGGAACATGGCTAACCTACCTGCAAAAGCTTGGACAGCATGGAAACACTGAGCTTTGAGGCTTTTGGGCTTTTTTCCGTCTTTGCCTTTGTAATGAATGTTGTGCTGAGGAGGGAGAGCATCCTAATGACATGAGCGCTCTTAAACATTCAGCCTCATACCTCCACACGACACCTATTCTCCCATATCCTGGTTTCTCCTCGGACTTAACCCACTATATAATTGCTTTCGGACGAAATACGGCCGGACAGGTAGCGAGTTGGATGCGATATAATGGGCCAAAAGCTTTGGAGGAGGCTAGAACTGCTGTCAGCTGCGTATGGGAGAGAAGTTGAAAGATCTCAAATGAATGATTCAAAATCAAATGAATGAATTAAAATGTTCGCCTTGGGTTCAGCGCAAGTAAAAAAAAAGATCAACACGAACCTGCTGAGTCATAAGCTATATGTTCCAGGCCATTTATCTTCCGACTTACCTGCAGATTCTGAATGGTGTGTCCATGTGCAGCTGCATGGGTCACATCATGGTCTACTTCTAGGAGGTGGGCGTGTACCAGGAATTCCTTGCGAATTCGTCAGCGCAACCGGTGACACCACTGGGGGCGTCCGTTCACTGGAATTCGACCGTGACCGTCTATCAGTGGTTAGCGGCCGACCTATAAAAGCGAAAGCACCAAGGGAGTAGACACCACTTGCACTGTACACCCGGCCTCCAGAACACAACATGCAGGTATGTGCTGGAATAACGCCATGGATATGGCGCGCTGTTGGCTAATGGGGAGCTTGTTTCAAGCCATGTACAATCTGGGCTTATCGATGTGATATGCCACTGCACAGATAGCGAGGTTATAGTAAATATCGTGCAAACCAGCTCTGTTGAATGGGCTACATCATCCGTCAAACATCCTCTCACTGTATTGCAGGGTCTCGTCATTGCCGCCGTCCTGGCTGTCGCCGCCGCCGTCCCGGCACCGGAGACGCCGGGCTACCAGCACACTCCGGCCCCCCTACCACCCGGTACCCTCGTACAAGCCGGCCTCTTACCACTCGGAGGCCCAGTACAAGGAGACGGCCAAGCCGTTCACTTACGACTACGCCGTCAACGACCAGTACACCGGGACCAACTTCGCCAAGAAGGAGGCGAGCGATGGCCACAACACCCAGGGATATTACTCGGTAGCTCTGCCCGACGGCCGTGTCCAGCACGTCAAGTACGTCGCCGATAACTACGGCGGCTACAACGCTGAGGTCACCTACGAGGGAGAGGCCCAGTACCCCGAGTACCACCCCGCTCCTGCCTACAAGGCTGCCGCTCCGTCCTACCAGGCTGCCGCCCTTGCCCACAAGGCTGTCGCTCCTGCCTACAAGGCTGCCGCCCCAGCCTACAAGGCTGCTGCTCCTGCCTACAGGGCTGTCGCTCCAGCCTACAGGGCTGCCGCTCCAGCC